GCTTGCTTGCTTGCTTGCTTGCTTGCTTGCTTGCTTGCTTGCTTCCTCGTTGACAATCCGGTCATAGGCACGCACTTTCCGTAATCAGCCGGCTTTCGTCTCGCAAAACCGCTGGACGCTCGATCACCTCGCGGCAACGTAGCGAATCGGGCGCAATTGAAGCACTTTTTCGTTGGACAAGTCTCGCGCCAAGTATCTCGTAATCATACGTTTGCGTGTAGTTTTGTGCGCTGATGCGCAGTAGCGCCATCGACGAACAATGTTTTCCTCTGAGAAACGCCTTGTTTCTACGTTCTAGTTATTTCTACGTTAGAACGAGAATCGACTTGTAATAATAGCGTGTTTCACGTATTCTACGATCGTCAGTGATAGATCAGATATTATCTCATTTCATATTGAAAATTATCACATTGCATAAGTAATTGTCGGAATGGCAATTTTATGTAATTTCCGTTATCTCTTTCGTTCGAAGGAAAACCAAAGTCTCATTAAAAATGTAAAACACATCGTTACCACATAGCTCGTACTTTTTACGACTGAATTGTTGTATTAACTATTGCGCAGAAACTTACAATTAGGAACCATTAAAAAGTATGAGACCACCCGGAAGACCGTATGCGTAATGATCTTTTTTTTCCAAGATCGATATTCATTGCACGTTTTGTAAATATGCAATTAAACGAGGTCTGAAAACTACTTTTTTTTCTGCGACAACGTTCTGTCTATGACGAACTTGATGACAATAGGTGATGCAAAGAAAAAGGTCAAGGTCAATTGAATGGTATCATCACGATGCTACATATTAGAGGCGAAATGGAGCCAAGGGGAACGAGCGCAGTGTTGTGTCTAATTGCACGCTTTATTATAATAGCGAAACCCGTGCGACGTGTGCATTTTCCACTTGGCTAAGCACGAATCATCGCATCATAAGCGATCGTTAGAACCGCTGTGTCGAAGAAAAGTCGATCAACAAGCCTGCCTGCGCTGTTTGCACACGTACTTAGCGTCTTTCCAACGTAGTCACCGACGTATGCGTCGTCCGATGATCGCGATGTACGCAAAATCAGTACGTCATTGGCAGGCGCACAGATAGGTCTGATGAAAACCGGTCAGCGTCAGAGTCGTGGTAATCAACAGATATTTCCCGCCGCGCGTCTTCTCATTTTTATTCTAGCGTCGCGCGAGTCGATTTGGTTGCGACGCGGTCTCGTTCGACGCGATCGCGAGTGGCGCGAGATAAGCGTGGCAGCGCCAATATCATTGTTCTTCGTTTGTTTTTCTTTCCCGCCTCGGACTAATTGCAACGTTGTTTTTCATTCGTATTCGTCGTCAGCGAGCATCGCCCGATCTTAATTGTTGCTGGAGCTGCGTCGCGGACGCAGATGCAGCTCGTCTAGCTACCGCCGATCGTAATATTTTCCGAACTTGGACAACTTTAACGCCAATCCACTTTCCAAATGACGCGACGAAGCGTACCTCCGCGTACTCGAAGCTCTATCTGCCATTACGTCGGATAAAAGGAAAAGAAAAAGAGAAAAAAAGAGGAAACAAAAATGTAAAGATCGACAGTGGACTCGCCGGTCAACAAGCAAGACTGAGAAAAAATAAGATAAGTTTCGGATGCCCGCCTGGAAAGCGTCATCGTACGCGCAGCTGACAAAGATCGAAATCGCGACATACGGCGCGTCGTAGAGAGAGAGAGAGCAGAGTACATCGGAGCCCAACGAAATTTCATCGATCACAAGCAATTAGCCCTGACACCCTTCCACGCGGCACATCTAATCACCGGCTGCATCGGCCATTCGTTCTTAACGATCGCCAAGATGATGGTGTACAGTGTGTCGCAGCTTACGCAGTCCTCGGCCATTTTTCAGCACCGCGGTCGTTGAATAATGCGCCCTCCGCTGCCGAGGAAAGAGGAAAAAGGCAGAAGAATAATGCATCTTGCTAGACGAAATTGAACCAGCCGATAAGTCAATCGACGCGCGTGCGCGCGCGCGCGCTACCTTTGACAAAGGGGACGAGCGAGCAGACTAATCGACGTTCTTATTCTCCGTCGAGCGCGGCGCCTCCTTCGCTACCGCTCTCATCGAGTGACCGTAGTCTGGATAAGACATGAGTTGTGTGTAATTTTCGGGAAATCCCGGCCTGATGCTCATTAATTATTCTCGCTTCTTTCCGGCCCAGCACGTACAAGTCGACCAATGAAGCGAACGGATGGATTGCGGTGGAGGCTATCGGCTGACGATGGTAATTGATTGTCATCTTCTCTGCGGATGCCTTTTGTCGCGCGACTTGCTCGGGATTCGCGTAGATTTGTTCGAGCGAATACGTGCACCGACGAATGCTTGGAGAAAGTCTCCGAGCTTGATGTCGAATTATGAAACATTACCAAACACGGCGTCCACGCATTTTACGAGAGAGAGAGAAAGAGAGAGAGAGAGAGACAAAGGCATATCGCTGATGAGAACCGATGACAATTCAATCAAACACTTCCAACGCAAAAGGAAAGAAACAACAGACGCGTGCGCGAGTTGATATTAATGGAGTTGTCGAGGGGTGTTGTCGTGGTAGTTAGATGCATCGTCGATCGAGCCGTGCGCAGTATCCCGCAGCGGTCGAACCGGGCAAACGCATTATACGCGAGGGGGTAGAGCATTTGCCGATCCAACAACTGCGTGTGCAGTGCACCTACTTATCTCTGCCTTCGCGCTTCACTGCTCGTTCTATATATTGTCGTTCGGCTCTAACTTTTTCATTTATTCATTCACACACACACGCACACTCTGGTCGTCTGCTCTTTGCTTAACGTGCAGCATAATAGTTTCGACTAATCTGTCATTACAGATCGTATGCTGATTTTTGATAGAAACGTTTGTCATAATAATGTCCCGGGGAACATGAAGAAAGATCCATCTTGTTGCCAAAACTGTCGTATAATTCAGTTAAATTAGTTTCTTGTTTAACATTTACGTAGATTTTCGCTTCGGTATCCACTTACCGTCTAAAGAATCATCCACGTCTTAATAGGGAACCTAACCAATGACGCATTATCATTCAAATATAAATAGGATATTTGCATGTACAACTTCTGCGTGACACTTTTTTCATTCGGATAAATTCAAGTATCCCATGGCGTAGAGTCAGTACTTTGCCTCATAGATCGCGCGTTAACGTTGTTAATTACGTTTTTTTTTTGAAGAAAGGCTTGCTCTCGTGAACAATAATAATATTGGCAGTTAAAGTTGGAAAAGCCAGGTTTAGACCGAAAGAAAAATTCGGGCGATAAAGATAAGATTTCCCGAAGATTTTTTTATGGCTCGCCCATAACGCACACCTTCGCGCTCGATACCTCTATATAAAAGAGCATTACTCGCGCGCGCTTTCAGACTCTTTGTCCTTATAGCCGTATAAGCTCGGAATATAATCGACAAAGAGAGAGAGAGAGAGAGAGAGAGAGAGAGAGAGAGAGAGAGAGAGCTCTCTTTTCGATTCTTCAACTGTACTCCGCGCCGTAACGCAGTCGTCGAAAAATTTTTGCACTCAGGGGCTGTAAGATCGTAAAAAAGTCAGAAGCATCCGTCGTCGACGCGCTCGTAAAACGGGCCAAGCCTACCCTCCTGCATTCCAAGCAACCCTGTCTACACGACTGTAGGTCGTGTTGCATAATGTCCCATTTGCCGGCCAAGATGTCTTTCGTTTGCATTGTTCTTATATCGATATGTTAGTGGAATCGATTTACAGTAATCATTCATTATAATTAATCCATTTTAATCACTTTGCTTTTGTCGCTCAATGGAAAAGTCAGTTTGCCAGAACAATCCTCGCATATGAGAAATTTCATTGTATGAACAATGCAAGTGCTTCGTCAGTTGTTATCAATTTCGCTCATGACTTTTACTCAAACTGGTTGCACGAAACATTCGCTTATCAATTGCTGACTCTGCGCGTTGATTCTGTTACGAACGCATTCACCACTCGGGTAGAGACCAAATGAATTTTTAGTACTTTTCCCTTTATTGATTGTTCCTATATACTGGTCATAAAAAAATACAATGTCAAGGTAAGCCCTTTCTGTTTTTGCGAAATTTCATTGGAAATATTTTATTTGTATTAATAACTGATTCGTTACGCTCATACGAATTATCAACGGTTTCATATACAACAATCCTACAGTCGACTGGTAATGTTCCTATCGTGCTGCTTTGATTTGTGCTAACAGTAAATGTACTGCCAATCATTATTTTACATGAGTCGATAAATTAACAACGTTCGATAAAAAGGTTGCGTTGTTCAGATGACTATACAGATTAGATTTGTTCTTTTAAACAAAGTTTGACGTAAAAAATAAATCTATAAACTGCAATTAATGAATTTTCAAATATCAAGAGCTACTCGCACTCAACAAAATAAATAGAAGCATTTCATAATAAAATTACATTTCAAGCTGACATTTATAAACTATTAAAAAACATTGTATAACAAAGGACATCGTGAAGCAAATCATCCTTACCTTTATTTGTACGCAATTATGCCCATAAGAATAAAAATTACCATTAAATACTTTTTATGGGACTTTCTCGTATAAATGGATATGTATTTTTTTCAATTTACATTAAAAAATTAATGAGGATTTTAAATAAGCAGTTGCGCGAAGCAAATAATGTAATGTAGTAAGTGCCAAGCAAACAAAAATTATAAAATATTGTTTAATTTTTAAAGAGTTGATCTGAAATCCGACATGAAATATAGTCAACTCACCTTATCAATTCACCGCGGTAAACTTTGTTAATTAATTAATAAAAAATTTCAAAACTGCTTGAAGTAAAATCCATTTTACAAATTATAGATGACGAGAATATACATTTCGTAAAAATAGCGGGCTTCGACGCCGCACGTGGCAGTGCTATCAATTGAGGCGCGCAAAGATGCCGGTTTGTAACAGTGACGTAAGAGGACGCAGCATAACGCTGCTCCCTCGCAAAATATCGCGTCGATTGGCAGGCTTGCTGGCCGGGAGCGCTCTGTTGTCGCTTGCTCTGCTGCGGTTGTCGCGGTTCTCTGTGTCCGTCGTCGTCGCTGCTGCCGTCGCCGCCACCGTAGACTCTCAAGTATATAGGCACGAGCAGTGGTAGTTTACAAATAAAATGGCCGATACGCCGTGGAGGCCTTGCGCGCGCGGAGCTTAGTGCTTCGGGTAAATGGAAAAATGTGCGCGCCTCGTCGTCGACAAAGGTAGGCCAGCAAAGTAGCCACCTTGAGCTGCACATCCGCCGCCAGCGTCACCGCGGTAGCAGCCACATCTGTGCACGCGCGCGCGCTCGCTCGCGCACGCACGCACGAACGCACGCACGCACGCACATCCTAACAAGCAGCAGTCAAAGAAGAGAGCAGTAGCTCCGTTTTGTGTCGTCGCCAGCAGCGCGAGAGTGAGTTTTAGCCGCCACCTTTGCTTGTGTGTGCGCGATTCTTACTGCGCACGCACACCCAGAGACGACGCGAATCAGAGAGAGAAAGTGATAATAGCGCCGGCAGTGAGTTAAAGAGAGAGAGAGAAAGAGAGAGAGAGAGAGAGAGAGAGAGAGAGAGAGAAAATTTCAGTGCGACCGAGGCCAAAAGTCTGGGCGAAGAAGCGGAGAAATGGGTGCTTCTAAGTGACGGATTTTCCACGGGGAAGAAGCCGAAAGTTGCACGCTTTATTAAGCTGTGTCAGCTTGAACACGAGAGAGCAGTCGATCAGCGGGTTTCCCCCTCCCGCTGGCCGTTCGCGACACGACGTACATACATACACGGAGCCACGCACTTGTGCGCACCGTCGACAGCCCACACACACCTCTTTCTCTCTCTTTTGCTCTCACACACGCTCTCGCACACGCTTGCTCGCTCCTCGTGTTTCCTCTTTTCACTTTCGTTGTGTACATACCGCCGACAATCAAGAGACTTGCAACGAGCAAGCGAGACAGACGGACGGATACGGTCTAGTGTTGTTCTTTAAGGTTACCGCCGTGAGCGCGGGACGCCGAGGAGGTCTCGAGCGTCTCTCCCTCGATAGAGGTTCCACTCTGGAGGGCCGCTGCAGGTGGCTTTTTTTCTTTTTGTCGTGAACGCCTAGTTCCGTTTGTGTAAGTGTTCACTTTTATTTCTCTTTTGTTTGGCACCCACGTCGTGAGCAATAACTAATTGTTTGTTTTGTGCGAATCAAAAGACAGAGGACATCGGAGGTGTGCGAGGGACAGATATGATCCTCGCCGTCGACGAGCCAGAATTTTGGGATACTGGAGCGTGACACATATCTTGCTCTGGAGCCGTTAAAGATATTCCCCGCTGACCAGTTCGTCATTGTGGAGCAGGTGGTTGGCCCCGAAGATGTGTTGACTACGGACAGTGAAGAGCCCACCGTTACGACGGCGAGTAGTCAACAGGCCAACGCCTCGATCACCACTTTGACGAACATGTGTACTACTCCCGGCAACACCGGCGCCGGGTTTGGATACGCATGGTCATTTAGCGGACCCGGCAGTGAGAGCCGGGAAGCAACTCAAGCCGACATCGCCGGTACCATCAACTATGCAGCGGTCAACAACAATCAAGATCAGCCAGCCGCTACCAGCCCGAAGATACAAATCGACGTGAAGCCAAAAGTACAGAACAGCACACACCGGAGAACTATGTTCGCAGCAATAGACACCTGCCAGCAAACACCCACCACCACCCACCATGGGCACACTACAGCTGCAAATCAGAACCAGACCTCTCATGTAGCCCATGTCAGGAGCAAGAAACATCATGCTGCTGATGTTTTCACCCTTACCTGCGACAAGGGACATGGATGCAATTGCGATGCCCATCATCCTACCACCACTCCATCTCTTTTCCCCAACACTCTGGTCTTCACCACTGATAAACATACTGTCAGCAAACATTTTATGACTCCCATAGGTCCACTACAACTTACAGCCGAAGAGTACAACGAAATCATACTGAAAAGAGCAGCCGCAGCTAGTAGCCAAGCAAATTCCAACAGCGTTGCCTCTAGCCAGGCTGATACCCACCTTGACCATGTATTCACCCATGTAAATACAGTACAGATTGATTCCAAACCCAAGGCCCAGGACATGGGCTCACAGGTTCGTGTACCCAAGGAAAGACCCTATACTTGCTCTGAGTGTGGCAAATCTTTCCTACTGAAACATCATCTGACGACCCATGCGCGAGTCCACACTGGCGAAAGGCCTCACATATGCATACACTGTGGCAAGAGTTTTGCACACAAACATTGTCTGCATACTCACCTACTGCTCCATAGCGCCGAGAGGCCCTTTCAGTGTCGGGAGTGTAAAAAGTCCTTCACCCTCAAGCATCATTTGGTCACTCACACGCGAGTACACACCAGAGAACGACCGTTCGTCTGTCCCGAATGCGGAAAAGCCTTTCCTTTAAAGCGTCACCTGGTGACGCATAGCAAATTCCATACTGGTGAGCGGCCCTTTGTCTGTGAAGAATGTGGGGAGTCATTTGCCCAAAAGGAACATCTCACTATGCACTCGCGCTTCCATGGTAGCCTACATCCATTCGTTTGCCCAGACTGTGGCATGAGCTTCCAGAGAAAGTTTGAACTGGTCAATCATGGTCGTTTACATGGTAGGATACCACATTCTTGTACAGTCTGTGGGAAAGAATTCCTACAGAAGAGAACTCTACTTGCACACATGAGGTTACACACTGGAGAAACTCCTTTTGCATGTACTGTATGCGGAGAAGCTTTTCCCAGGAAATCTGATTTAATAACTCACTCCAAGATACATAATAGCAGTAGTGCGGATACAGACTCAAAACTGTACAGGTGTCAGTTAGTAGAAGCCTTTGTTGATAAATTTGATTGATGTGTGAGTGGACTATCCACTGATTTGATCAATTAAACTTTTCAGAGAATGCGGACTAGAATTTAACAACAAGGAAGCTCATACTTTGCATATGAGGTTACATTCTGCAGATAGGACTCTTGTCACTGATCTCTGTGGTCTGGCTGCAACATTTCAACAAACAACTGGGCATTTCCTCACAGCCAACACTTCTGCTGCGCATCAGGTAATTGTAAGGACAAATTTGATTTCATTATGTTCTTAAATATAAGATTTTGTATTGTTTGAGAGATTTACTCATTTATAGTGAATATTGAAATGGTACAGTAACTTTTAAATCAATTAATATACAAGGACAAATTTCACCTCAATGGTAAATAAGATAATGCAACAAAATTATTCACCATAACGAAGAATAACAATAGTGGTAATGTTGGTTTTGAATTGTTGCCTTTCTAATAAACTATAAGCTGCTCAGTAGCGATGACAATGTTAATGAAAATTGACTTTTCCACATTGATATTTGTCGAATAACTAGACAAAAGCAAATTGAAAAATTGTGTTTTTTTACTAAACTCCAAGTACTATTTTAAAATTAATTATATTTTTGAAAATGAGTAATAAGATCAGATAAGTGTAGAATGATATTTGTAGTTTTGTAATCTAAATAGTTGAATAAAATTTATACATTTTTGATTTTTCATTCCATAGAGTAGCAGTATCGATGGAAAGGATACTTTTCGTAAAATTGGCAAGATTTAAAATGGTACTTAAGAGTTAATCATAAAAATTTCATTTCAATTTGGCTTGGCTATATTTTCTTTATCACATGCTTATTTAAATAACATTTTCTTTATCAACAATACTACACTTTCTTTCCTGTTCTTTATTTCTTGATTTTTTTGGTATTATTTAACGCGATAAATCAAAATTGGTTGTAGATTCATAGTTAAAAGATGTGTCAGAATGTACATATCAAGTTTCGTGTCTTGATTTACAATAACTCGATAGAATTTACTGAATCCAAATCTTTCGGTTAGTAATTAGTTCTGTTAAAAATCAGATTATTAAAAATGTTATTAAATGCAAAATTAAATAACAAAACTAAGGATGATAATGAATTAATAGATGAATGGACCTCTGACAACGACGGTGAGCCATATGCATGGCGCAACGCAGACTTCACCACCAGTAGGAACCGGTCCAAAGCCTAAACCTCACATCTGTCCGGACTGCGGTCGAGGATTCGCTCAAAAGCACGGTCTATCGCAACATCAACGTCGCCACTCAGATGGTAGTTGCCATATCAGGTCGCACGTGTGCGACAAGTGCGGCAAAGCCTTCTTCCAGAAGAATCACCTGCTGCTGCATCAACGTCAACACATGGACCCGCCACCAAGTATATTACGCCAGCAACAAAGACAAGCAGCTCAAGCTGCAGCTCAAGCTGCCACTCAAGTGATAACTGTTGAGAACTGCAACATGGACAGTAAAACCATTACTCTACAAGCCATTCAACAAGTACAACAACAGCAGGCAGCTGCTGCACAGGCAGCAGCTCAACAGCAACAACAACAAGCTGCTCAACAAGCAGCAGCTCAGCAGCAGCAAGCTGCTCAACAACAGCAGGCGCAACAGCAGGCTCAAGCTCAACAGGTTGCGCAACAAGCTCAACAACAAGCTCAACAACAAGCGCAAGCTCAACAGCAAGCAGCGCAGCAGCAGCAGCAACAACAGCAACAACAGCAAGCGCAGCAACAACAGCAGCAGCAACAAGCGCAACAACAGCAGCAGCAGGCAATTACCGTGGATGCTAAAGCAATACAGTTGAACGTCACCATGTGAGATAATTTACCGATAATAAGAAAGGATAACGATTGTTGGCCAGTTGTTGGCACTCGGTCACATGCACCCGCTGCCACCACAGAAAACCCTCTGCACGCAATTCTCTTGTACTAACAATAATGCAATAGATATATTTATTATCATTAGATTCTTCTCGAATATCGAAAAACAAAATAGCATAAATGAAAGAAAAGATAACCAACTTTTATTATTGACAAGAGTATATATATAGATATAGATGTCTATATATACATATATAGATATAGATATCTATATATACATATATAGATATAGATATAAATATCAACAAGCAGACAAAGCAAAATAAAACAACAAAATCTTATACATATTTAAGACATGTGTTGGAGTTTCTAGACTGGAGGCTTATCCTCAGACTGGATTAAATTTCGAACACACAAATGACGCTTATCCTCGATGACCAAAAAAAAGGACGGAGGAAAATGAGAATTACGCAAAGGTGCATTTCAATATTCAATACGATTATTCAACATATTATTATTTCGATTTGGAAATTAATCGAGTTAAAGAATACAACCTTAGTCTAGAAACATTTCAAGGCTTGTAACAAGAAAAAAAATAAAAGTAACCATGTATTAGTGTTTTACATATACTTTATATATACTACATAAAAATATTTACTTTAGATACGTATAAAAGAGTGGACGATAAAAAAAAATGATATGAGTGTCGAGTATAATTATCACGCGCTGCTACTGCTCTGCTATGCCAATTTTTCAGATTCGTTAGAGATGCCTTGTAAAAATTATACCATAAACTTTAAATTAATCTTATGGGCTTGTTGCAGCTTTAATAACTTTTGTATCAAATTGTTAACTTTTTTTGTACGTTACAATTTAAATTATTTACATCAAACATAAATTATAATTGATTTATATACAACAAAATTATAACAATACACGGTGGCACCGTGTGTTGTATTTTCTATCGTACGCTCATAATGATACTGAGAGAGAGAGAGAAAGAGAAAAAGAGAGAGACAGAGAAAGAGAGAGAGAGAGAGAGACAGAGAAAGAGAGAGAGAGAGACAGAGAAAGAGAGAGAGAGAGAGAGAGGGAAAGAGAAAAAGAGAGAGAGAGAGAGAGAGAAAAAGAGAGAGAGCATTATAAGGAGAAGAGGTGGCGGACGGTGTGCATTCATGAGGCATATGGACCATAATTCTTAGAACAACGCAACACGTTGTAAGCGAGCGCCTCGCAGCTAATGGCTATCGAAATAAGACCTTGAAGACCAATCACACTGTATATTACCTCTTTTTTTCAGTGAATTTGAATCATAAAGTCGAGCCGTAAGATAATTTTCCTCAAAGAAAAAAAGAAAGAACGAAAAAAGCATGTAAAGATCAAAATATAATTATGATAAAGCGCTATTTTTTTTTGTTTAACATTTATTTTATAGTGGTTTGTTATTTTCAAAAAATAAAAAATTTATTTTTCGATTCGATGGTTGATGTTAAATGTTGTTTTATACGAGAAGATGTACTTTTGATAAAACAATTATCAAAATCATTCAGGAAAGGATGTGTAGTTGCACAACTCTGACGTATGAAAGTAACATTAAAATTTTAAGATTTTTACGCTTTGTATTCAATTTTTATAGATATGTGTGACTGGTGATTCTTGGCTTTATATAATACGTTGTTTTACATTGTCACAGAAATTATACGATTACTTTTATAAGCCCAATGATTATATCTGCTTTGTGAAAAATTATTTTGGGAAGAATATTGAGAAATTAAAAAAAAATTGTTTTGTACAGAGGCATTTGAATCGAACAGCGCTTTATTGTCAAAATAAAACAACAAATTTAAAATGAAATGATATTACTGATGGAAAAAGATGGTAATTTTTATTAAATAATTATTAAACGAAAAATTTGCATTCCAAAAAAAATTATAATAATTCAATTCCCATTTTTTTGAATTCGAGAATTGAGAAGTGTCTTGCATTTTATTTGTAAATGTGAATAAATGCCGATTATATAGGCGTTAATTACTGCGCCAGAGTACTGTACTTTGTAAAAAAATATTATTTTTCAGACTACATATTTTTACATAGATTCCTTCTTTGCATATATTTACTTATATCAAACAACAACCGAAAGCTAATTTTGTTTTGTATAGTAATATAGTCCTTTTATAAGTGATTAATAAAACTGGTTTACTCAGCATCCACACAAATTACTTCAATTTCCAATACGATATTATAATAACTTTTGAACAAGTGAATATGGTTTCAACTTGAACGTAATCACAAACGCATTCAGAATAATCAATGTTTGTCAATTCAACTCAGTTGTACAATAATAACATGTAATTTTTATACTTCCTTTATTTGGAAGATTATAAGATCCGGTAAATAATTTGTAAATATTGAACTATATCTCAAATAAAGCTCGTAACTGTTGCAAATGATTACATCAAAGCAAAACTTTTAGAATAGATGAATCTGTGTAACAATACATTTATACCAAGCTGCAGTGTATTTATTTTAATGAATAAATATATCAAACAAGCAAACAATAAAACAACAAAAATAACAAAAATACTAGTTTGTAGTTTATAAAACGTGCCCTATTGAAAGATAGAAAAGAAAAAATGTGGACAAGTCGTTTAATAAAAAAACAATTACAAAAGTCAAACTTCATGTGTATGCCTCTCTTAATTTATCTTTCTCTGTGTTTCTCTCTCTCTTTCTCTCTCTTTCTCTCTCTTTCTCTCTCTTTCTCTCTGGCAAATTCTAAGTTGTTATATACTATATACGATGAAGTCGCTGGTGCAATCAAAGAAAAATCTTCGAAGAGCACGACGTCGACTGACAAATATAAATCAGCTGCGTGACTTGTTTTCACTGACGCGTTCAAACACTTTATTTTGATTCTTTGCTTTCGGCATATTCGCGAGAAGGGATTCGCAGAGCAGTAGCCCCCTAATAATAAATGACTACGACGATAAATGATAAATGAGAACTACGAATATGTTTATTTCTACGATTCTGTGCAATCTTTTTTTTCTTGCTTTCATCTTTTATGTTTCTATTTGTGCGTGTAAGGGTGTATGTGTTTGTGTATACGAAAAAGAGAGAGAGAGAGAGAGAGAGAGAGAGAGAGAGAGAGAGAGAGAGAGAGAGAGAGAGAGAGAGTCCGTCTTCGCTTAGCTTTCTTTGTTAACAGTCTAAAGTGAAACAAATTATAGACGATGATATTTTATATGGATAACTTAATCTGCGAATATAGATGTAGAAAGGTTTTATCGTGAAAAAATATTCTTTAACGATAAATCGAAGTTTTTTATACTAAATTTGATAAATTCGACGTTTTTAATAAAGAGAACGATGGGAAAAAAAATTTTTATATGGTGCCGATACCTAGGCGTACGTTAATTGAAAAAAATTAAAAGACTGTTTGAAATTTACCAATCGATATTCTTGAAGTAATAATTATATCGATAAACATTTTTTCACGATGAAACATCGAGAGCTAACTTATAAACTATAATATAACGCGCGTACTATTCACACACATATACAAACATTGTATAATGCAGAATAAATGGGAAGAGCTGTTCACTAAAAGAGTATAAAAGAAAAGCGCAAAACAATGTGAAAAAGATATGTAATAGATCAAATTGAAAATTTTCCTACTGTACATTCGAAACAAGAACTCGAGACTTCCGCCTCGTTTCTCTTCTTTTTATTCCTTTTTAGCTGGCGGCGCGCTAACGAAAGCGAAAAACGAGGCGGATAGTCGCGTTACACGCAATAAATATACAACATATGCGCGTCGCTTGTATGCATATATATGCGTTTCTAGAACGTGACATTTGTTTCTGCGTTCGTTAGAAAAAAAGACGCATTAAAGACGACGACGATGGTAACAAAATGAAAAGGAGGCGAGATGTACGTGCTTTTATAAATAAGCTGCGCTTCGCATTTTCTTTTTTTTTCCACTTGTAATATAGTTATGTACTAGAATTAAAAAAACAAACCACGTGTCGGCTAGTAGATAGCATTGCGAGCATTACAATACTTTTGGAAATCTCATTAAGCTGTGTTCCTTTTTCAACCCGACTATCCTATTCCTTTTACAATTCCTGGGTGGTTTTAGAATTCGTTTTACAATTCCTGGGTGGTTTTAGAAAAGATTTTTTTCTTTCTGTTTCTTTTCGAAAATTACGCTAATAAAATTGGATCAATGAAATCTTTTCTAAGATAATTGAAGGTGCTACGATCAACGATAAGACGGCAAAAGGAAAATTTCTTGTAAAAAGTCCTGTATTTCATTATGGATTTATCCGATGCTGTAATTGAAACAACTGGAATAACGTAATTTACGAAATATACGAAAAAGTTGTATACTTATCCAAAATTGATTACCTAAAACCCCTTGCGCATTAACATAACGCAAGCTCTCGTCGCAATTAAAAACTAGTAAAGACAAAATGTAATGACGCGAAAAAAAGCGGGCTATGCTGGAGGTACCAGCAGCAAGTGAATGAAAATGGGAGCGGCGCGTGATGAAGAAAGACGATGAAAAGAGGTCGGTCGCTAAGGAGAAAACAACGCGCGCTTTTGCTATACACAGAATGAAAGGGAGAGCAGGAGGCCGATAAGCGCGCAAACATACCGTGTAGCAAAACTAACGCTAAATGCACGTTTTCAGTGCTCTTTGGTGTATTTTTCTTGTCAGTACAGTTTCCGTTGAAAATTAGAATGTTTACTTCACTTGCCAAGCCTAATTTCGCGAAAGTGCTGAGCACAAAAACAAACGTCGAAATATTTTGGAGTCTAAGCAGAAAGTTACAGCTTGGTTAGGCGCGCGATCGATGAATCAAGCCAACAAGAACATTTTCAACAATTTTCAGCTGTCCGTGAGATTTTCTCACCGAGATAAACCGTTGAGAACGTAGAGTTCACGCGTCGAACGTTGATTTCTCTTTGTCCGAAGCAGAGCATTTCGTAATTGAATGAGCGATAGCGCTAGATAGGTAGATAGCGATAGATCTACCTATATATCCATTCTTATCTTAGACAAATCAGTATGCGAAGTCTCGGGCATTATCGGCCAACTTTAGCGAAGGCACCGTACAAATTTGGTCGCTTATCACGCGTCGGGTTCAGTGAGAGCGTGAGCACTCGTCGTTCGATCGGCGACGATGATGATCGCAAGCTCCTGCGATAAAGCGCCGCGTTCTTCAAAAAATTTTCGCGCCACCTGCCGCTCGTGTCCGCAAGCAGCTGGTTAGCAGTGGCGGATGCGCGCGCCTGCGCTTCCGCTTGTTTGTCTTGCGTCCTTCTCTCTCTCTCTTCGCACACACATACGTGTAGGCGACCGACCACGCGGGCCACGCTCTTTCCTTTGTCTTTCTTTCGCACGCAATTAATGCCACTTTTCCACCTGCTTTGCGCCACAATAACATTGCTCTGCTTTTTATTCTAGCTTTGTCGTTATCAAGTTAGCGGAGTGCTGTGCTATGTTGAAGTCAAATTAACAGCTGAATGTTGTCAAAGTGTAGCTGCCTTTGGCGTTGTAGAAATAGTGCAAGCTGCCTTCATTTCTTTTTATCTCTCTCTCTCTCTCTCTCTTTCGCACACATGTATTCGCGCATATCCTATCTTGGTGTAGCGAGAGGAGAGTCGTGGCGGCGGTGGCGGCGGTCGTGGCGGCGCGCGCAGTTGGGTCGCCGCGCAGCAAAGCCAAGTTGAGCCAAGCGAACACGCACTGCTCAGTATTGTGTTGTCGCTCGCTGAGAATTGAGCCAGATCTGCGCACTCTGTATACACACAGACACATATATCAACAATCTCGGAGATATCGTTGTGCATAGCGCAATTTAAAGAAGCCCCACCGTCATCGACGATATCTCGAGTTTTAGGAACGCAGTGAATTTTCTCTCTTTCTCTCCCGATGCTGCTGCAGCTCGGCAATTAGCCTTTGAGAAAGAAAAGGTCAGCGAGCGAGAGATCGAGAGAAAAACAGAGAAAGAGAGCTGCTGCCTCCACGGTGCCAAGAGATGCCGAGGTGCAGCAGTACAGCTGACGAGCCTGGCTCGTGAGCCTCCTCCCTGCATATGGAGGTGGGTGCACTCATTCAATTGCGCAATATTATTGACAACACCTAATTCGGCCGCATGTTTTCGCTCCGTCTCTTT